TGTGCGACGCGGGCAGCACATGTTGGCGAACCGAACGCTGCGAGGCAGTACACCCACGAAGCGATGCAGTTGAGTCTCTTGGATGGCTGCTTGGGGCCAGGCAGTCCGGCTGTGGACATTGTGCGAACGCTGCCAGGGCTTGCCCACGCAGGCATTGGGCCCAGGGCCTGCCAGGCGGAGATGGCCGCGCACGATGCGGACTTCTCCCGGCGTTGGGCACGAGCCATCGCTGGCCGCACTGCTGGCGGGCCTGCCCCGCCGTGCGTGGCCTGCCTGTTCCATGCGGTCTTTCCGCAAGAGTTGCAGCAGCTGCGGGCCATGGGGCGGACGTTCGCGCGGCACTGCTGCTGGTCAGAGGCATATGTGGCGGCCGAGGCGACCGTGAAGGATCAGGATGGGCTCCCGTACGACTTGGACGAAGTGGCGGGCATTGGGGTCGTGAATTTGCGGGGAGTGTTCCCCGACATGGAGCCAGATGGGGAGTTTGCTGGGGGCTGGGGCAACCAGTCGCAGGCACTGGACAAGACATTCTTCGGCAATACCATTCAGAAGGACCTGCACATGTTCCTGTTCAATGCCGAAGTACGTATGGACCAGGCGGATGTGTTTTGTCGCTTTGATTTGGATTCGGTTTTCATCATAGAGAACTTGCTTGCCTACATTGTGGCTGACAACATCTCGAGGAACGATGTGGTTTATTTGGGCCTCCCGCTCGAGCGTGGGAAGGACACCTTCGGCGAGTACCCGTCCGGCGCTGCGGGGGTTTGCCTGACCCAAGCGGCGCTCAAAGTGCTGGCAGGTTACCTCCAGGCCAGAGCAGATGACCGTCGGAAGTACCCCCCGGGCTACATGAAGCAGCGAGACGCGGAGCTGTCCGAGATTCAGCGGCAAGGTGAGTACCCAGCCGAATTCTTCTACTCCCTCTCCTGCGACTTCTTTTTGGGTCATTGGGACGACGTCGTCCTGGGCTCTTGCTTCCGCAGTGTCGGGATTGCGTGCCATGGGGGCTGCCGTGACCGCTTCGGCCGGGCGCTGTTCTCCTACGGGACGCTGCCGGTCCCGCTGCACAATCCACGCCGCGTCCCAACCAACAGGTCGTACGCCTCGAGGCCGGAGGCTTATTTCAAGACGGTGCGCGCCCACTGGTCGGCCGAGGGCTTCCTGCACCACTACCTCGCCTGCGAGCCGGTGCACCTGGCGAGCTCGCCCTCGTGGTGGGTGGTGCCCCACGTCGTGTCCTTCGGAGGGGCGCCGCTGAACAGCTACAGGAACCTCTCGTGGTTCCGCGATCCGAGGAAGAAACAACGGCACACCCATAAGCTTTCGGATTTGTGGGATCGGCGCTGGATTTCCTTGCATGGCGCGCGGAGCGCGCCAGGGGCGACACTGCAGGCCCCGCCAGAGGGGGCCCAGCGCCAGTCGAAGAAACCCATGCGGACCTCCGAGAGTTTATGCTTACCCATCGGTCGGTGAAAGTGAGTATTTTTGGACCCCCCGTTCCACTCTACATTAGCCGTTAGCCGCCTCCCTACTTCAATCATCGAGCGGTTTTCGCTCTTCCCTCCTCTTCAGGGGGCAGGCGGAAGCCCAATCTATTTCCAGCGCCTTCCCGTTTCCTGTGTCTGCTGTAGGTTCGCGCGGCGTTGGCGCGCGGGCGACGCCGGCGAGGGCGCTCAAGGTTGAATTCTGCGGAAGCACCGAGGGACACGGTGACGCCACTGGACCCGACGGAATTCAACCTGGAACGATCGGGGCCGCGGCCGATTCGAGAGCGAACGGTCGACGCGGTGGCAGAAAGCTTGATGCGTGCCGACGCCGCACGAACCTGCCGTATCTGTTCACTCCGTCCGATGGGTACGTTCATGCCGTTCTCGCTTCCTCGAGCGATGCCTACTCTCTCATCTATGGGCCGAGGCGCAGGGGGCGCTCGGCCTCGAGGTCCGCCAGGGTGGCCGCCCGCTGGCTCGTCGAGGGGTACCAGCTGTCCGTCGCGGACATCGTCGGCCCCCGGGCGCGGCCCTCGGGGTGGCAGGGAGTCTCGGAGGGAGCCGCGGGCCCCCCGGCCCCTGGGCTGGCCTCGGTGTTCGTCCGTAGGTGGAAGACGTCTGCTGCCGGCGGGACGAGAATGGAGGGATGGGTATGGGTATGGGTATGGGGATGGGGATGGGGACGGGGATGATGATGATGATGATGATGATGATGATGATGATGATGATGATGATGATGATGATGATGATGATGATGATGATGATGATGATGATGATGATGATGATGATGATGATGATGATGATGATGATGATGCTGATGATGATGATGATGATGATGATGATGATGCTGATGCTGCTGCTGCTGCTGATGATGATGATGATGATGATGATGGTGGTGGTGGTGGTGGTGATGCTGCTGCTGCTGATGATGATGATGCTGATGATGATGATGACGACGACGACGATGATGATGATGATGATGGTGGTGGTGGTGATGATGATGATGCTGATGATGCTGATGATGATGCTGCTGCTGATGATGATGATGCTGATGATGCTGCTGCTGATGATGACGATGATGATGATGCTGGTGATACTGCTGCTGCTGCTGGTGCTGTTGTTGTTGATGATGGTGATGCTGTTGCTGCTGATGCTGCTGCTGATGATGCTGCTGCTGATGATGATGATGTTGATGATGATGATGATGATGCTGCTGCTGCTGCTGCTGATGATGATGATGATGATGATGATGATGATGATGATATTGGTGATGGTGGTGATGGTGATGGTGATGATGATGCCGATCGTGCTGGTGTTGTTGTTGTTGTTGGTGGTGGTGATGAGCGGGAGGAGGAGGGAGGTTATTGGGGCTCTCCCGCTGCCTCTCCTGCTCTCTTCTCCCTGACTTCCTGCTGCTCCCGCTGGTTTCCTCGCAGTCCATCTCTTTCTACTCCTCCTCTTCCTCCTCCTCCTCCTTCCCCTCCTCTTTCCCTACCTCTTCGTCCTCGTCATCTTCCTCTTCTTCCCCTTTCTCTGTTTATTCTTTTTCTCTCCCCCGTCCCCTGCCCCTCGGCCTCCTCCACGGCCTCGTCCGTGCTCCCACTGGGCCGCTACTCTGAAGCGTTTCGTGCTCGCCGCGCTGAGCCTGTCCATCGAGCCTTGCGCCCCCAGGGCCTGCGGCACCGCAACCTTTGGGACGTGAAGACCCCTCCTCCTCTTTCTCCTCCTCCTCCTCCTCCTCCTCCTCCTCCTCCTCCTCCTCCTCCCTCCTCCTCCTCCTCCTCCTCCTCTTTCCTCCTCCTCCTCCTCCTCCTCCTCCTATCCTCCTCCTCCGCCCTCCCACCTCCTCCTCCCCTCCTCCTCCTCCCCCCTCCTCCTCCTCCTCCTCGTCCTCCCTCTCCTCGCCTCCTCCTCCCTCCTCCTCCTCCTCCCCCCTCCTCCTCCTCCTCCTCCTCCTCCTCCTCCTCCTCCTCTCCTCTTCCTCCTCCCCCCTCCTCCTCCCCGTCTCCTCCTCCTCCCGTTCCTCCTCCTCCTCCTCCTCCCTCCTCCTCCTCCTCCTCCTCCTCCTCCTCCACCTCCTCCTCCCCCTCTTCCTCCTTCCCCTCCTCCTCCTTCTCCTCCTGCTCCTGCTCCTCCTCCTCCTCCTCCTCGCCGCCCCCCCGAGGAAGCGCAAACACATCAGTCGAGGCGCGTGGATTGGAGACGGGCCAGGAAGCGCAAACACATCAGTCGAGGCGCGTGGATTGGAGACGGGCCATGCTTCCATACGACAGGATTGGCGCGATCCTTCGCCAAACCAGGCGGCACTGGCCTCGTGCTTCGACGGCAGTTCTCCAGCCCTTGACTCCCTGCCGCCGCGGCGCTGCTGCTCTCCCCCCCAACGGGGAGGGGATCACGGGGAAGGGGCTTCCCTTCGGCTCGATCACGACACTGCCAGGCGTTTCCCTCGCTGACAGGCTCGAGGAGGAGGAGGAGGATGCAGGGAGAAGGGACGACGGAGGCGCCGACTGAAGTAGACGACGACTCGAACCGACAAGCCCCTCACACACGCCGACAGGGTCGCGGCGAATCTCTCCGCCACCCTCCTCCTCCTCCTCCTCCGACGCCACCTCCTCCTCCTCCTCCCTCCTCCTCCTCCTCCTCCTCCTCCTCCTCCTCCTCCTCCTCCTCCTCCTCCTCCTCCTTGGAGCTGCTGCTCTTCCCCCCCCACTCCCCCAGGCCGACTGCTCTGGGGGGGTGGGTGCCTCGTGAGGCCTCCGCGAGGCCTCGGCGAGGCCTGGGCGGGCGGAGCGCTCCACGGCCCCCTCGGGAGCCCCTCGGGAGTCCTCCTCCTCCTCCTCCTCCTCCTCCTCCTCCTCCTCCTCCTCCTCCTCCCACCTCCACCTCCACCTCCACCTCCACCTCCTCCTCCTCCTCTTCCTCCTCCTCCTCCCTACTTCCCTCCTCCCCTCCTCCTCCTCCTCCTCCTCCTCCTCCTCCTCCTCCTCCTCCTCCTCCTCCTCCTCCTCCCCCGAGAGCGGGCCCCGGGACGCGACGCCGCGAACCAAATACACAACAACGGCCAGCCACGCGCGGCCGCCCCGCCACGGAAACTTCTCTTGGCGAAGGGCCCGACCATCTGCAGCTGTGAGTATCGCCGTTGTGGGTACCGCCCTCGGTGGATCTGTGTATGGGGCCACGAAGCGTGTACAGGGTGTGCCGGAGTGGGGCGGAGACGCATGCGGGCGCAGCCATTGGGGCCTTCGGTGGCGCTCCATATGGGGCCGCGAAACGTGTCAGGGGTGTGACGAAATGGAGCAGGGCCGCCATGGGGACCTCGCCACTGGGGGCCTTCGGTGGAGCTCCCTATGGGGTCACGAATCGCTGTACTGAGTGGGGGAGACGCATGCGAACACCGCCACTGGGGCCTTCGGTGGAGCTCCCCATAGGGCCACGAAGCGTTGTATCGAGTGGGGGCGATGCATGCGAACACCGCCGCTGAGGCCTTCGGTGGAGCTCCCAACGGGGCCACGAAACGTTGTATTGGATGGAGGAGACGCATGCGAACGCCGCCACTGGGGCCTTCGGTGGAGCCACCTATGGGCCACGAAGCGCTGTGCTGGGTGGGGGAAACGCATGCGGACACCGCCGCTGGGGCCTTCGGTGGAGCTCCCTATGGGGCCACGAAGCTTTGTACTGGGTGGGGGAAACACATGCGGATACCGCTTCTGGGGTCTTCGGTGGAGCTCCCTGTGGGGTCGCGGAGCTTTGTGCTGGATGGGGGAACCGCATACGAACGTCGCCTCTGGGGCCTTCGTTGGAGTTCCCTATGTGGCCACGAAGCTTTGTACCAGGTGGGGAAAACGTATGCAGATACCACCACTGGGGCCCTCGGTGGAGCTCCTCGTGTAGTGCCTGACGATTCCGGCATCCAGGCAGGGCGAGAAAGACGGCGGCGGCGGCGACGACGGCGACTACCACAACGACGACGACAACGACGACGACGACGACGACGCCGACGCCGACGACGACGACGACGACGACGACGACGACGACGACGACGACGACGACCACGACGCCCGCGCGCGTGCTGGCGTGGACGGGCGAAGAACCGCCCCCGCCAGCAGTGGGCGCAAACGGAAGGAGCTCTGGGCCACAAAACGTGTGAGAGGTATGCCGAAACGGAAGCAACGCTTACATTGGAACTGCGCCGGTGGGTCCTTGGGTGTGAGGGGTGTGCCGGGACCTTAGGTGGAGCTCCCTATGGGGCCACGAAGCGTGTGAGGGGTGTGCCGACACGGGGCAGCGCCGCCATGCGGACGGCGCCACTGGGACCTTAGGTGGAGCTCCTTGTGGGACTACGAAACGTGTGAGGGTGTGCCGAAATGGGGCGGCGCCGCCATGCGGACTGCGCTACTGGGGCCTTAGGTGGAGCTCCCTATGGGGCCACGAAGTGTGTGAGGGGTTTGCCGAAATGGGGCGGCGCCGCCATGTGGACGGCGCCACTGGGACCTTGGGTGGAGCGTCTTATAGGGCCACGAGACGTGTGACGGGTGTGCCGAAATGGGGCGGCGCCGCCATGCGGACGGCGCCACTGGGACCTTAGGTGGAGCTCCTTGTGGGGCCACGGGACGTGTGATGGGGTGTGCCGAAATGGGGCGTCGCCGCCATGCGGATGGCGCCACTGGGACCTTAGGTGGAGTTCCTTGTGGGTCCACGGGACGTGTGAGGGGTTTGCCGACATGGGGCGTCGCCGCCATGCGGATGGCGCCATTGGGACCTTAGGTGGAGTGGGGCCACGGAACGTGTGAGGGGTTTGCCGAAATGGGGCGGCGCCGCCGTGCGGACGGCGCCACTGGGACCATATGTGGAGCTCCCTCTGGGGCCACGAAGCGTGTAAGGGGTTTGCCGAAATGGGGCGGCGCCGCCATGCGGACGGCGCCGCTGGGTCCTTAGCTCCCTGTGGGGCCACGAAACGTGTGACGGGTGTGCCGAAATGGGGCGGCGCCGCCGTGCGGACGGCGCCACTGGGACCTTAGGTGGAGCTCCCTATGGGGCCACGAAGCGTGTGAGGGGTTTGCCGAAATGGGGCGGCGCCGCCATGCGGACGGCGCCACTGGGACCTTAGGTGGAGCTACCTATGGGGCAGAAATGGTGCGGCGTCGCCATTTGGACGGCACTACTGGGACCTTAGGTGGAGCTTCTTGTAGGGCCACGAAACGTGTGACGGGTGTGCCGAAATGGGGCGGCGCCGCCATGCGGACGGCGCCACTGGGACCTTAGGTGGAGCTCCCTATGGGGCAGAACTGGTGCGGCGTCGCCATTTGGACGGCACTACTGGGACCTTAGGTGGAGCTCCTTGTAGGACCACGAAACGTGTGACGGGTGTGCCGAACTGGTGCGGCGCCGCCATGCGGACGGCTCCACTGGGACCTTAGGTGGAGCTCCTTGTGGGGCCACGGGACGTGTACGGGGTGTGCCGACATGGGGCGTCGCCGCCATGCGGATGGCGCCACTGGGACCTTAGGTGGAGTGGGGCCACGGAACGTGTGAGGGGTTTGCCGAAATGGGGCGGCGCCGCGGTGCGGACGGCGCCACTGGGACCATAGGTGGAGCTCCCTATGGGGCCACGAACCGTGTGAGGGGTTTGCCGAAATGGGGAGGCG